ATAAAAAAACTATCAGTTTTCTACGCTCGCACTGTCGATGTTGGGAGCTGGATGCTGAATGCAATTCCTTAACGTGGAAACCAGTTAAGCAAATGTTTCTTTTATTCCCTCAACAACCATTTGAAACATACATAATCCAAGCTTATCAACAATAAGCAGACCTCTAATCTGTGCTATTGCATAAACTTCGTCTAAAAAATACGGAAATATCCTAATTTCCACTTCAGCAAACACCAAGTGATATCACGTTGTTTTATTTAACGAGGAAACCTCTCCGGCAAAAAATATCGAAATCTAGTCAGTCATTTTAGTAGTCGCGGGGCAGTCTGTAAATTCGTATTGTATATATATATATATATATATATATATATATATATATATATATATATATATATATATATATATATATATATATATATATAGCGTAACTATTCACTTAGTGCATCTCTTGGTTGGTTCACCTACAATTTGAGTGGTTTTGTGAGATTGTGCACTAGTCGATAATGGTTGTTATTCTTAGACTTCCCCGTGAAGAGTACAGACAACTGGGCATCAAATCTATAACCTTTTCTCTACACTTATTCCGTAAATATAGCTCTTATGCTGTCTTGTGGCTCACCCAACACAAGAAAATGTCCATGATGTAGATAACTATCTATAATAACCACATAAGCTTGTATTTCATGAATACCGTTTTTCTCACTTCTACCTCACATGATTAAGCAGCTGACTTCCAACCCATGAACCTGTGGTCCAAACCCCATTCCACTTGCTTTGCTTTGGTCAGTCAGATAGTAGCCTCCACACTGTGGCACAGCCTGTTGCAAAAACACCTATGCCAAATTGAATGACATTGTGTATTATTACTAGTACCCATATGCATCCAAGGGAGGCCTGGAAAGCCAGTTGATATTAATAGTCTCCAAACTGTAGTTTTATTTCTCAGCTTAACATGGGTCTATGGGTAATGTTACTCCTACTATTATTGCAAAAACCTTTGTAGTTTGGTAACTTCCCATGGATAGCAGCAAACTGATGTATTATAAGGGTTCGGCCATAACTATTGTTCTTTCACTAGCTATAGATAGGTTTAATCTAAACCCACTGATTTTACTTCTATTGAATTAAATGCGACAAACCTAGCTGTGATTAGACGTCAAATAAGCAAGCATCTATCGATAGTAAAGAGGGTGACATTACTGAGAAATGATCTCAGTAGCTGCATCTAGCATCATGCTGTGACCAAAGAGAAAAAAGAAAGAAATAGTATTGTTAGCAATCAAAACGACACAAATTGTAATAAAACAAATACATGCAACATTGCTGATTATATGAGGATAAATCATCAATGCATCTAGACTGCTGTCAGTTTTCGGGCATGTTACCTCAAGTTTGGATTTGGATTGTCTCACTGTTCGTAACCAAAAAGAAGCCCAAACCAAGTATGAGTCAAAAGTAGGCAGTACTTGTCATGATACTGATATTTCTTATTTATGCGCGAGGTATCTGTTAAAATGACCTGAGCTTTCATTCTTGTGAGTCATCTTTCACTTGCTATAGTGGAAGCTGTTTTATATTGTGACACCGATACATCCTTCTAATATGTATAAGGGATCAGTTAAATCTGATCCTTCCAGAAAGTTGCACTTCCAAAATGGGAAATTCATTGATTCAATGATGCTTACTTATAGTCCAGTTGCTTTGTGAGTTGATTTTTGTTGTCACGATTTATCGTATGGAGAGCTGTTTCATCAGTATAAACAATCGGTTCTGGACGGTCTGGGTAGTCAGGCAGTATCATAAGGCCTCACACAGTAGGTGTAGTTAATCCAGAATGAAGGGCAAACCAGTGTAAAACCTCGCGAAGAACTGCATTGGTTCAAGTTGCCACAATTTGTAACAGCGTGGATGGAAGAAGAGTGTGGAAAAAGTAATATTTAACTAGACAAATGTTTATATGAGAAGACGGCACTCTAAATTGTTAGTTTTCTACAGCAAGTCTTCATTGTTTTTATCAGAATTGTAACGGATCATAAAATTCTGCAAATTTTATGCTTCTCATCTCAAGAGTAAACTTTACCGTGTATCGCTTACGGCAGTTGGCACCTATTAATGAGTTACTCATTCCTTTTGGATTTTACGTATGCTGTCAGTCCTAAGCTCTTTTTTGTAAAACTCTTGTTATCGTCCATTCTTTGAGTCAGTCGACTTTTCATCAAAACTAAAGTGTAAACCTAAGAGATTACCAGCAGTAATGTAATGGATCTCAAGATTTAGTTAAACCAGCTATCTTTATCCAGATTAGCTTAAATTATTTCCTACCACAACTTCAACAATAAGTGACCAGTTGTCAGGCTAGCAGACAGATCTGTGATACTAATGCTGCTCTTTATTATAATCCATAGAAGGTGGATCTTTGCGTAAGTAAGCTTCAGATTCCAGTAGTATTTCTGTTTTAGAAACATTGAATTGTCGTATGTCTGAGCACGATGTGGTATAGATACCTGTTGGCAAGTTTGTCAAATGTGTCTGACTTCGTATGAGAATCCACCTTCACTCTTATTTTATGGAAAGGCAGTCGATTTGGGCGTCGCAATTATTTCCTTGCCTGCCCTCCTATTTCTGCTGTACTACTTGCGGAACTCATCAGAAATAGGGGCATCGTTTTATTAATCTCGAAGACCTGTGGCAACTTTTCAGTCACATATCTCCGACTTAGCTTTATACTTCCCTTTGTAGATGCGAAATTCACAAAATCTTATGCTCTTTTGTCTCTGAACACCGTCGTAGGCATTTACATATTCTTAGCGTGTCATTACCTTACCACAATGTTTGCAGATTCTATAGATTTTTTGACGTGTAGAATAACCATTTCTCCACCTATCACACCTCATACTTCAGTGGTACAGAGCTAATATGATCAAATGCGCCCGCCATTCTGTAACTTTTTAACTTACTTAAATCTCCAGCAAACTTTTTTCCTCTGTTCGTCTATTTGTCAAGTTAACGTTTATCTTACATTTGTATATTTATCTGCCAAGAGTACCCGCCATCCCAGTTGCTGTTTAGATTTGTTGCAGACATGCTGATGGAAATAACCTGGATATACTGCTGACGTCTCAGGGATTGATTTACTTGCAGGAAACCTGGCTGACTTGTGGAGTACTCAGATGACATTGTCTTATAAGGAGAAGACGCTGAAAAAATGAAGACTAATAATTGTTTGATGTTTTCTGACCATTGAGGTGTGTTCTTACATTTTTCAAAAAGTGTGGCTCGAAAGGGTGGGGATTAATTCACTCGTTAACGTCTGACAAATTCTAAACAATTTCAACTTCTTCATTCTCCTATACACTTTTGTCGATTTTGATGTCATTCTTTTTCTGTTTGTATTTTCGATGCTGCTAGGAAGTGTAGTAGAAAGGACCGATATATTTCTATCCCAGGTTTCATGGTGACTTAACTGCTTGTCTGCTACTATCACGAGGACTAGACGTCACCTTTCAACTTATCTCGTATTCATCATAGATCGTAGAAAACTGAGTGTCTCGACTACGGGAATTATGACAAATAAATAGGACTTACTAATGCCGATGGCATAGTCATGTACATCATATGAACAGCAGAAAAGTCTGTTGCAGAGTGATCAGACAAAAAACAGTTACCTTTAGTTTAAGCGGTTATGCTATGATGGGAGAGTATAAGGGTAAAGTTGCACTGTTGGCTGGACGAGGCTATCACAGCAACGAAGTTTTCCCAAAGGACAACTAGTAGTCCATCCTGATGCTGTTTTCTCTATGAAAAGTGAGGTTTAAAAAAGATCAACATCAAATGAAGCACACTCCCCCTAGCCTTGAGCCCCCTCCCAGTACCAATGTGAGGGTTTTCTAGTTGGACTCAATCAGAGATAAATCCTAGACTTACAAAGAGGTCATGAGTGATCAGCCACAAAAAGATATTCCTTGGACTCTGCGGTCACGCACCACCACTACCAACCACACTTCCTTTTTAGGTATCATGAAAAAGTGACCTTCATGATATGGGCAGCCAAAAAAGTGCAAACCAACCTGACAACTCCATCAGAACTCAAGTTCCCTCACATCATTATCAAGCTTCTACATGTTTGCCTCAAAATCCTTCATTATGTCTTTTCATCAATATTTTTATGTTATCTTTAGTTTCTTAGAGCTATGCAATCCCCGATACAGATGCAGGATCAGAGAACGTTTTGCAAACTCTTCTTCCACCCTTGCGACTGAAGCTTAGTAGAAAAAACCGATGCACTTCTTTCCAGGTTTCGTGTTGACTTAACCGTTTGTCTGTTACAATTACGAGGATTAGACGTCACCTTTCTGCTTTTCTTATATTCACCATAGGTTTAATAAATTACGTTCATTCGTACCAGCAATAAATGAGTATTGTAAGCCCTAACTTGATTTCAATATAACAGACTCTTCAAATATTATTAAGCCGATATTCATTGGAATTTAACTGAGACCTGCTTCACATCCAGCTACTCAATATCATGCTTCAGACTACTGCTCTGGCCATGTACATACCAAACTATAAGACCCTAATTCCTACAAAGTCCTGGTGTTACAAGCGATTGCATCAACCATAGTTGATTGCGATACGTTTGGTGATGAATATGATTTCAAAGTACTGTAACATCTGTTCATACTGACAAAAATACACTACTTGTGCCATTCAAAAGGCATCCAGAGTTCATAATGTTCTTAGCATCTGTTCATCGAATTATATACTACTGTGTCATGAAGTTGATAGTAGGGATTTAACTATAATCGGTTTAATAATATTCTGCATGCAATACTGACGATGTTCAAATTTGTTTTTTCATTTCTCCTCATAAATAGATAGCAGTACAGAATAAGCTTAGATAACGTCACTGATGTTGCCCATTCACTAATCACTAGTTAAAAACTGTACAGATACAAAACTCTAGATTTTTCATCCTTTCAGTTCTTTGCATTGACTGGCTAATGGCATCACTTCCCAAAAGAATAATCAAAGTAGGTTGATGGCACACACTTTATTGCAATTGATTTTAGGAAACTCAGAAACTTATTCAGGATCCTTGTGATGGCATAAAAGCTGTACCAGACGAAAACAATGCCAGATATTTTTTAGTATCCATAGATGGACCAAAAGATAGCGCATATGAGGGAGGTATTTTCAACCTGGAGTTGTTCCTTCCCGAAGATTATCCTATGACTGCACCTAAAGTCCGCTTTACAACCAAACTATACCATCCAAATGTTGATCGTCTTGGGAGAATTTGTCTGGATATCCTCAAAGGTAAGTTATGCTCACCATGCTGTTTTCATTTCCTGTTGTTTGGAAAGAGCACTTCTCTGGTCTGTATCATTCTTCGTGGAGTTAGGTTTTGCGCATCATGACACCTTGAAATAGGAACAGATACCCGATTCTGTAATTCCACTTATTTCTAGTCACATTTATCTAGTTTATTTCCCTTCCCTTGTTAAAAGTTTTAACTTCACCGTGACCATGAAAGACAACTGACTATCTCATATAATCTCTTGAGAGTGATCTCAATCATTGATCGTCCCAGTTTTCACCAAAGGAGAAAAGTCCTGTGATAATGACAAGGAAATCTGGCTGTCCAACACAGTGTATGCGATTCTGTGTTCGATAATCGTTAGACGTCTAGGTGAAGTTCACGAACTGCAGTTCGAGGAAAAGCGCGTGGGTTTTGCATTGGTCGTAAGTGTATCGACCTGACATTCACCCTCTGTCATGTTCTGGAAAGCTTACCGATGGCCGACACTAGCCTCATTTCTTAACTTTAAGGCGCCACTCAACTCTGTTGTTCTTAATGCTTTTCTAAAGTTTTTTCCTCACTAAAATCGATGCAGTGTGAGTCAACCCCCTGTTAGAAACTGTATTCGAATACTCATCTGTTCCATTACTCACTGATCGCTGAAGTAGGTTTAGATTGGAAGAGTGATCGAAGCAGCTAGACTAGAAAATCGCATGTGTTCATGGATTATCTGACTGTTGTGAGTCGTGTAAAAAAATATAGACCTTTTGATGGGAGTTTTGTGACAACTGAAATCGGTGGTTCAAGACTCTGAGTAGTGTAACTCGATCAATTTTAGTGGTACAGATGCATCCACACATTATCTTACCTGTAGATCGTATCAAATGGCACTTGTTATCTACTTTCTCTCTTTAAGACTTTGTACTACCCCTTATTTCTCCTTCATCTTGTTGTCTTATCCATTGGTCTGCTAATATTAGGTGTGGTTACTTGTACTTTTATTCTCTAATGCCAAGTCTCATATCAATGTTTAATGGCTGCAAAAGGTAGCAAATAGAAGTGTAAATATAGCGTTATGTTCTTCACAGTGGAACTGTAGTCGTACGGTACAAAAGATGAGTTATTTCATCGCACTGGTCGCAACCTCTGCATCTTCCTTCTGTAAAATAATGGATAAGAGTTCTATATCGTAGAATTTCTAGTTTCATAGCTGTTTATTACCCCATACTTTCAGTTTGTCAGCTTCTTAAAGAAGAAAATATAGTATTTCTTAGTTCATATTTTGAAGGTAACATTCATCTGCATCGGTTAAAACTCTTTGTGTATGTGTCGCAATACAACAAGTAGTGAACAATACTCACCTTCGTAAGACCTTTATGCCCAGTTGTAGTGATTATTGAAGGATTTTGTCACGTGAAGTTGTGTTCTCACGGATGTGGTCATTTTGAAACTAACATATTCTTGTGGTGCTAACCATACTAGTTGAAGGTGATATAAGGATTTCTGGTTTTTAACTACTTTTACGTGCCGGACATCGCTTACAGATAATTCAGCTATACAGTGATGTAAGGTTTACGGTAAAAAACGTAAACCACCAGGAAAAGTTTAGTTTACATTGGCTGGTATTACGGAAAATACAGTGCGTATGCACGATAGCTACATGTCTTGGTGATCTATTTTCTGATTAAAAAAGCAGGATAGTAAGGTTCAAGGCAGTGGGACTAAGATGAAATGGGGGAAGTGACCTCTAATTATTGTCCTGGGTTCGCACACATAAGTACTTTGAGGTACATTTATACTTTATCAAAACAATAAAAAAAATGTAGTTTATCTGAAGCATGTGATGTATTAGAGGACTGCATTTCAAACAGTCTGCTCACAGACTTGTCATTTTTGTTTATATGAAATATAGAAAAGGATGTGTGTTTAAAAAGTAATCGATATGAGGATGATTCGAATTGTTAGTTTGTACGTCTAATCATAGATGGCAACAGAACGATGATATAAAAATCACCTTAGATACTAAAGCTTAGTTTCCAAGGGAGGATCGATTCAAAAATAAGTTTTTGAATAAATGGAAGATGTATAAGCCTGTTTTTCGCTGGAGCTTCAACCAACCTAAACATGTTCCCTCATAGGTTTTTGTAACTAGGTTAGGAAGATGCATACAAACCACCCTTGTTACCTGTTTCTAAGATATGTTTAACCCAAAGATGAAGTTGGACACCTATGCCGAGGTAACTGAGATCATTCGATTTTAGTTGTTGTCACAGACATTTTGGAATATGCTTCATGGTCGTCAGCAGGATAGGTCCACATGTGCTCCCTGTGTGTGTAATCACACGTCCATGTAAGTTGATGAACGCAGGTGAATATTGCCCCATCCTTCAAATACTGCGAGGGTTTGTAAGAAAACATTAACTTCGCTTTCTCCACAATGTTAACTTTTGTATGAGTATGTTCTTCAAATGACTGTCTTAAGTCCCTTTTGTGGTTAGACTTTGTGAATCGACTATTTACGGTAGAAATACTTACTGATCTCTTTTTGGAAGTGACTGAATAATGTTTGTCTTTTGCTTGAAATATCTATAACGGTTATCAAAGGAGACAATTGTCATCTAGTAATACTTCAAACCACGACTTCGTTTTACATTTCTGAAACGATAAGTTTGGTATTCATAGAAGGCAATTCAGCGACGAAAATGCTCTTGATGAATCATTTGCGGAAGCAGTACATCCGTAATCATAGTTACAACGAGAATATATGTCAATCAATGGTTGATGGGTCAACAAAAGATCATCAGAGTTGTTTCTAAGATTACAATTTAGACTTAATAATGAACTTTACCGACAGAATGATTGAACATCAGTGGGTTCCTTATTAGGTTCTTTCTTAGGTATTCGCTTTGTGACTAGTTTGAAGAACACAAAACGGCGTCATTTGATTGACTAATTCTCTTATATAAATACATGAATGACTCTTTCATCATCTGTAAAGAGAAATGTAACCTTGAATCTATACTACAGACGTTCAGTGAACGTCACAAGTCGGTTAAATTTATCATACAAGCTGAAAATAACTCAGTTCGATTCTTGAGCACCTGGTTAACTCTGATCACTCTTCTTCACCAGAATCCTCCTTCAAAGTTACTTGTAAAGTCGAATCAAACATTTCGAAGGAAGTCCAGACTCGCAACCTGAATTAGGCAGACCTCTTGACAATTCATCATTTCAAACCTGATTTCTGCGTTCAATAGAGGTACTTTCCAGTCTTTGGTTATACCTTAATCATAATCTTCTTATGACTTCTATCGTTTCATCTATCAACATTACTGTTATTATCCCCTTTCCTTACCCTTCAATTATTAATTTCTGTGTGACTGTTCCACTTTTCTTGCCTATTCTATTTCTTTCTAGTTCATTATACAATCACCGTGTAGTTCTAAAAACAATTTTCAACATGAAATAGACCTTGTGTTAACCTGCTAGCCGCTCATGGATGACATACATTCTGGTTGTAACTGTCACTATGGACATACAGCTTCTGAAAATGGTTCCTCGAGAAAATTTTCACTGATTTGTCTTTTGTTAAGTTTAGTATTCTAAACGGTGCATTGTCATGATAGACTGTTCACTGCCTATCTTTGTAGAAACATTTGTAAAGGAACAGCGCCTTATACTAGGAGCTCTTAACGCATAACAAATCAAGGGATCTAAATTAACAGGTATATACTGAAGTGTTTGTATCGTATGTGAGAATTGTATTCATTACTTCGGGTATCGTTGTTAAAGTAACCATGAAACGATTGAGTCTATGACTTCAAGTGGTAAAGTAGGACGCATATTTGTATTGAAATTTCATTTTAAACCGTTAAATAAAATCCCTCAAATTGAAAACTCAATTTCGTATAGATTTCCTGCATTTAGAAATGCAGATCTTTTATTAGAGGATTATGAGTGCTGTTCATTTAAGGGTAATCTACACCAACTTTCCAGTTCATTAAGAAGATGAACAAAAGTTGTCGTTTCGAAATGACACGTTTTACGCAGAAATTTCTATACAGTTCTTTTTAAAACCTTAATTGTAACTCATTTGCCGATTAAAAACCGGTTATTTTTATTTAACTCTTTCATAAATGCACTTATGGAAGTATCTCTTTTTTGATATCATAAGTATTGATTTCTTTGAAGCAGCTTTATCAGAGTATATACGTGATACAGTCTTGCTGGATGAACATAGTGACAAGATGCGAAGTCTTTTGATAAGCCAAAATAACATTTTGAGAATATTTGGGATACACATAGTTCACCTACTCTGATTTGATGCTCAATCTGATAATGGGAAGTAAAATGATTGATCACGTTAATTACTTGAAGTATCTGAGACATATCAACCTCAATGGGTCAGTGGTCGATGGAACCTCTGCACGGATACAAAAAGCTAGACTGGCGTTTACCAGCGTACACCTCTTGCGACCCTGGTGAGATATTTGAATGTTTACACAGGATCCAGTATACTATGCTGCAGTGAGATCGAAAGTAAACAACATGTGAAGGCTTCAGTTATCCGACGACTACCCCCTACGTAGCATCATATGTATAATGGAACAACCTAGTAATTAACCTATAGGTTTGCGTAAATATTTAGGTAAAAGAAGTAACTAAGGTGATAAAGTGTAAATTGTAAGCTGAGGTGGCTGAGACATTTGCTACGCATGCCGAACTATTTCCTATTTCATCACACTGTGCAAGTCATAAATTGGATTAGGTTGAAAAAACTGAGCATGACCAGACTTAGACATGACTCTGAATTTTAGAGTCTGACTATCGGTCTAAGCCACATAGGCATCCTGATTAGGACCTGACAGACGTTGATCCTTGCAAAGGAGTGTTTCAGTTCAGTTTGCCATGGCAGCATACCAAACTCAAATGAGTAGTAAAAAAAAGTGATGTCAAAGTTGATAAAAAAGTATAGAGCAAAAAAGATTTAAAAAGTAAAGGTTAGTAAAAATTAACAAGGAGTGAATACATCTGTGCCACCGTAACCGATTTTCAGCCCTGTCACCAAGGATTTCCAACCAGTGATTTCTGTTGCTGGAGTTTCATTAAGGTGCTTTGATTAGCATTGCATACTTAGTCGGTAGTCCCTTCACAGACAGTCACCACCACAACGTGTCTCGATCAACAGAATCGAAGAAATGTGGTGTATCGGTTGTCGGTAAGTATGCATGTGTTCTATAGCCTGTTAAAAGGTGAAGATCTGATCGACGCACCCTCATATAGGTTCGAAACTTACTTGGAAACGCTGTTAGTCAACCTAATTTCCATGTAATTGTCACATGAAGACTTTCATCTTATTTATAGACACTACCTAGTACTTCTGTTACTCTACCCGGTAACTTTACATGCATCCTTGAGAATTAATGCTGACAAGCTGCTGGTCCTTCTATTTCGCATTGTTTTCGGTGCGAAACAGCCTTCTCAACTTCGAGGGGTGCTGACATCTACATCCCATTCAGATTTAGACTAGATGCTGAGCAACTCAAGCGGGGATGTAAGCCACTTGAACTGTTCTTCTAAGTGTTGCTCTCATCGTTTCAGCCACCTTTCCTGAGTATTTACCACAGAACTATAGTTTTTAGCGATATTCTCACCACCCATCGTCTTGCCAGTCTCCGTAATAAGCCTAAATAGTTGTTTAAGTATTAGCCAATGCCTTCATCTTTTTCACTTTCATCACCCACCATTTCCTGCGGTCATTGGAAGTGATTTAACTCCATTTATGCTTGAGCTGTCTACGTTCCTTGTTGTGGTTAAAACCATCTAAAATGGGTCTTCTCGCATCAATCACTTCGTATGGGGTTGTGAAGATCTACTGCCTTTTGCTTTCCTTTGAACACAGGTAACGGAGTGCCTTCACCTCTGCATCTGATGCCAGAGATACAACTGAGATTGTTGGTTGGCGACTTTAGTCATAATAATTCGATAGCGATAGCAGTAGTATGAATGTGCGTATCCATGAATCATTTTCTTCTAAACACTGCTTTTGCCTAGGTTTGAATCCTATTTTTGGTTTTCTGGTGAGTTCATCGAGCCGTACTTTTAGATTTAAATGCAGTATTCCACTATAAGAAACATATGTCGAGTGATTACATTTGAAAATTGACATTGATCTATACGTTTATCTAATTGCGAGGTTAGAATTGTGTGAAGTATTAGTCTCACGTACAATACCAAAGTTTATTCGTGTTCTTTTTTCTGCAAAAAGGTAAAGTAAAGAGTATTGTGAGCTTTAGTAAATTTTATTTAATAAATATCAACTCCAATATAGACGCTAAATCTGTTGTTTTCAGTAATCCATCAAACACCGAACCGAATAATACAAATAGTCAGAATTTATTATCTTTTAGACGTAAAAACCACTGCAATCAAAATCTTGGAGACTGAACCGTTTGAAAAAGCAGTTTATGCATTCTGTTGTTTTTCAAAGATTAGTCTCTGCGATTAAAGTCACCTAGTTCATACACACTATGATTCAGCAAAGTGTATATAAACCTTTTGTAATATTAGGAGATACTGTCTTTCACTTTTTGTTTTTAATGCTCCTACTCTCATCTTCCTAACATTGGATGGTTATTATGACAGATGTTACATTAACGTGGTGATCAAACTTGGAAATCAAAGTGACCTAATGAGCTACACCGGCTGAAACACTTGTTCCCTCTAGACCATACCGTGCCAGATACGCCTGTTGATAGTGGTAAGACAAGAAGCAGTTATCGTTATAGTATAAATTGCTACACTATGAAAGAGGTCTGAGGGTGAAGTCGTACTACTGTTAGCTGGCTTGAATGTGACAGCAGTAAGGTGTTTCCCAGGAGTACCACGCTAATGCTGCCTACCTTATGAGACGGTAGGGGTCAGAAAAGGTCCACTCCCAAAGGGGTACCTTCTTCCTCTTCGTATTGATTGGGAGTATTGGTGGGTGGCGAAAGTGGGAGAGATAGAGAGGGCATCCAGCTGTGGGTGACACGTGGCAACTGCTTTGGCTATCAAGGATATCGGGAATGAAGAGGACGATGGTTAGTGAAAGCATCACTGAAATGGATGGGACGCTGATAACCTCCCACGACAGGTGGCTAGAACGTTTAACAGAATATTTTGAAGCGCAGTTCATCTGGCATTCAGAAACTCTTCACTTGTCCAACATGCAGCTTGATCTTGAACTGCACATAGATATCGATCCTCCAACTCACTTTGAAATTGAGGTGCAGTATATTTCGAGAGAATGCAATATGCACGCTCAACCAACAGCTAACTTGGAACACAGGATCCAGTGACTCCAACCCGGGACGAATAGAGAGAAGACTGAACTGGATAGGAGAAGTTATTCATCAGAGGATATTAATTAACCAACCCAAACACATATGGAAAATGACCTTGTGGTGAGAGTGAGACACTGAAAGTAAGTATTAACCAATCAGCAGATTAACTTTAAAATGGAGGCAGAAAATGAACCACTGATCATACCGTAACGAATGATGTGAAAACGACAAGATAAAAAAGTGTTTACATTAATAGACAAAGTTTTATGCGAACCTGGGGTCTTTCTTCCAACAGAAGGCAGTGTTCAACAATGCAAAACAACGGGATCTGACAGTTTGCCACCTGACGTTTCCAAGGATGGAGGTGGGAACTTGCTGCTTGAAGTGACGGAGGATGCTGCGTAGTGTATGGGAATCAGTGGTAGTGGTAGTGCTATTAAATTGATCCAGTTCAGTGATCATCCCAGTGTATAATAACGGGTGAAAATCTTCTGGTGACTAGCATAGGGGAATTAGCTTGACTAATACTGTGTCCAAGATCCTACCGTTCATAGTTATCGAACTCCTTACAGGAGCGGGAGACTAGCAGACTTGAGAAAATCAGTCACGTTTCAGACCTAGACGAGATTGCATCGATATTTCTGCCATCTGACAGGTTCTGGAACACGAGCATACCTACCGGCTAATGACCGAAGATTACCATATTGCTTACCCAGAGGACTCTATTTGACTCAGTCTACCGGGAGGTGTTGTGTCAGTGTCTGACTAATATGATGCAGTTTACTGTGATTATGTGGATTTGTAATCTGTGAAATATACCCATAATGATTTGAAGGAAGAACAAGTATTTCAGTGCAAAGTCTCTTTACGGTGATTTCATTTTCAAAGGTGTACAATCGCAAATCTATACATTTTTCTAGTGTAAAGAATTTAATAGTTAAAAACGGTTTGTCAAGCATAGCAACACAAACAGTGTCAAAAAATGAGCTGTCATTAAAATTCAAGAACTAAAAACTGATGAGTAGTGAGTATTCATCAAAATAAGCTTGAACAAGAAGTTTCATAACATGACGACATAATCGGAAACTGGATTGTGGTCAGGCAGAACATAGCAACATGAATGAGTAGCAAATTACTTAAGAAGTGAGTAGTGTCAAAACAGAAAGATGAAAAAGAGGAATGAGAAACAAGAGACTGAAAAGTAAGACCATGAACGGGGAAGGGGCTAAACAATCTTCCTTTGCATACACAGTTCAGGCGTCTCCATTTGGGTGGCAAGAGCTTGAGCGATGCTAAGAGTACAAAGACATACAGCCTTTGGTAAGTTTCTTTTCACTTTTTAGATTACTTTAAAACGAGGAGGTTCTTGAGATAACGTTATTCGTGTTCACAATGTGTTCAACTGTGGTACTCCTTATCGCTCCATTGTTGCCTCTATGTAACCACGGAGGATAGTGTCGTTGAACCCTTTTGGGATAGCTCGCATCGAACGACCGATATACCTGGCTCCACAACAGCAGGTGAATTGATATATGTACATAGAAGTGGTCAGATGCGAAAGTTTCTCCTTTGAGTTGTTACAAAATAGTTGGGGGACAACAGCGTTGATGCGAAGAATGTTCTCTTTAGAGCGTTTGATAATCTGCCTTTTTAGAGTGTCAGCGATAGAATCACCTTTGAAGTTGAGATTTACATAGCATAGTGGTAAGGTTCTCTTTGCGAGGTTTAGGTATTATGTCTATGAAGTGCAGTGGTAATCCGTTTTCAAACAGGATGTTTTTTAGAACAGAAATTCCCTCTTCTAACACATTTGGACTGCAGATTTGTCTAGTGTGAGTGGCAAGAGATATGATCAGATTTCGCTAATGACTCATAGAGTCCCAGTTATTAAAGTCTTAATATGTTGCTTAGCTATCAAATAACTGGAACTAACTTTATTCACGACGCAGATGGTGTTTTTTTAATATGCGTATTCTCTGTGAGGTCCATAACATCAGTAATTTTTGCACAAGTGTTTTTTTAATAATAACTTATGTAAAACTAAATCACTTTTCAGTGGCTTTTATGATTAGCATTTATTTTTGTTCTAATTTTTGTTTTGAATTTCAACAAAGGATTTCGTTTACTTCAGACTCATTCATGTAGACATTTTAATGCATCTGTATGGAGCTGTGACTCAGTGGCCTAGGAGGGTCATGGGTCCGAGCCCTGCTCCATTTACCGAGGTTTGGGCAGCCAGGTAGTATCACTAGACCTCATACATAGGTGTGGCTTATTGCCCACTGCACGAGTGTGCACGAGGTTGCTGAGTGCATCTCGATTTTCGATTCGATTTCGCATCTATAGGTCACCCTTCTTAAATAGCCAGATTTATAAACACTGAGTCAGTTATTCAATCTACACTCCATCTGTCTGAGGTTTGGGCAATCAGGTAACATCATCAGACCATGTATTACTCTATAACAAAATAAATATGATTATTCAGTTCTACTGTTTATTTTTAATTGAACAGATAAATGGAGTCCGGCTCTTCAGATACGTACTGTTTTACTGTCTATTCAAGCACTGTTAAGTGCACCGAATCCAGATGATCCGTTGGATAGTGAGGTTGCATCACATTGGAAACAAAATGAACCAGAAGCTCTTGCCAAAGGTTAGCTAATGAGATGTTCACTATGCTTCCGGTCGCATATTTTATTATCCCTTTATTGGTATAACGAAGAGAAAGCTGTACCTTATGTTTATTCATAGAGCATTTCAATCCCAGATGTGGGTGATTGGCTCACTTAATCTTCTTCAAGACATTTTGTTTTTGGTTCGAATCTCATACCACCAACTTCGGTTTGGGTGACGGGTTGGTGTCCTAAGTCATCACATAATAAGTGTGCCTCGTAGCCTACTGCAAGAACATCTACCGAGTTGAGGAGTTACATTAACCCTCTGTAAGATAATTAAGTCACATTAAATGATGGATAATGATTCCACAAAGAAATTGGTGAAGTGAATCGATGGGAATTTCTGTTGTGCGATATAATGTCTAATTATTAAACAGTCTAGGAAAGAATTTTATTTAAGCTCTCATTTGTATTTGTACACATTATTCCTAATTTGCTCATTCAAATATTTTTTACGCAATTAAAGCATTACCTATTAGAATATCGTAAATGCAAAATAAGTTTTATATTAATGATGGATAGTGGAAAGTAGTGGGACCCAAGACGTGCGTTTCGTCCTATTTGTGACTCGTAAGTTGGATATACCTGTCTCCCAGTAAGCGATCTTGTTCCCGCCAAAACTCAAACTCGGGACCGATCTATCGGTCCACTCAAAGACGGGATAATACGAACAAAAACGTTAAAACCATACCTGTCCAAAGAAGTGGCTATCGTAACTCGGTGGATAACGCTCTGGCATTTGGAGCAATTGGTCTCGAGTTCGAGTCGTAGTAAGAACAACATTGCTCACTGGTAGGGAGACACATCCAGCTGATGACTTCCTAAATAGGATGAAACATACATCCTAGATTCCACTGCTAGCCACTATCTATCACTGATATATAACTGAAACGCAGGTAATATCGAGGCATCATCTCGGGAGCCTGGATGCCAGTACAGACCGATCAATTCGGTAATACAAGCAGCAACATTAAAACAAGTTTTATTTATGACCTCGGATCTAAATACTCAACCATCAACACGAGAGATATAAATTGAAATTTATTCTGCCCATTAGGGTCCAAGGAGCTAGGTTGTAACAGTAATCTGTATTTATTCTGCTGTGCATACAAAGATTATCTCGATATAAAAAAGAGAACTAACCAAGAATACATAGGCTAAGAAGAAGTAAGTACGCCTAAGGTAACAGAGATAGGATTAGTTTAACTGATTCAAAATTTTTCTCCTCCTCTTCCTATCTATTCGAGGTAACCAATAGTTTTTTATATATACCATCTATTCGAAATGTTCTAACCCTGCTCACATATATCCCTATCGGGTTGATTTATCGTTATCTCAACAAAATTCAATTAGTATTTTCAACATCACGCGAAAAATATTGCGATTTCTTTGATGATCAGAATTATTTTTATACAGATGTGTTAACCTTTATATAATTATATCTTGCATGAATTGCTTAAAACTTTTGAACTTTAGTTAGCCATCAGAAATAATTAAGTCATAACGATTTTTGACTTGGTAGTTTGTGATCAAATACTGTTGTTTTAGGAATCTAATGAGGTCAATAACCTGGTTGATAATATAACTAACAGGTACTTTATTAAATGTTCTGAAGCAGTTGAGAAAGAATTTCAAACTTAAGTTTTATACTTGTTAGCACTGACAGTTAAGGCTTATCCATGACCTCAATGGGGTATATATGTAGTTTATGCCAAGTGTAAAGATCAATGTATCATATTAGTTAGCACTCAAAATGCTGCCGTATACACAATTAAGTTGTTATCCAAACAGATCAGTGTATATGCTAAGGAAATTCAGTAGTAATAAACATACAAATCACACATAGTTTACGTTCTGTCGAATTTTTATTTATACTGGGTGGGGATTGAAGGTGAAATGAAAATTTTAACCACGGCCGGATTTGAACCAGCGACCACCGGGTTTCTGGCCCTATACTCTACCAAATTAGCTATGAGGTCTGCCCAATCACGACAATTTCGGATTGTCAACATGAAGTTGTATTTGACAGACAGAAAAAAAACTTGTCCAGCACAGAAGTGTATCAATCTAAATAACTACAGTCTTCAGCCGCATGCAAAGAAAAGGGTGTATAGAAAACGAATGCCATAAAGTAGCGGAAAGTCTATGAGAAGAAAGAGAAAGTAAACGAGAATTGATGGAAACGTTCAAACACTCGAAGATGACGAAAACCGTATAAGTTAGTGTCGTCGTGGTAGACTTTAAGTCAGTGCGCTAATAGTCTCTAAACATTGATTTGTATCACTTCAAGGACCTAAGCAAGGTACCCACACATATCTTTGCTCAGCTCTAAGACTTCATGAACTAGTAGGATATATTGATCTGGTAGCCTTTGACTTTCTTCCAATTCAGTCCTACTTTGGTTAATATTCTGCATCGTGATAAGTGGCGTCTTGACATATGCAAAGCATCTCCAAGCCGTTTTAGTCGGTGAACGTTCACAGCCTCATCGGAATTTCTTTGTTGATTTCAGGTTGGTATTCATTACAGACTGACATAGTTGGAGAAGCGTTGAAAATGTGGAGCACTAGACACCTATTTTGATATATCATGAATTGACATAAGTAGGAAATATGGACCATTGGGTTCTGACACGGTGGCTCAATGGTAACATGCTAGCCATGGAACCTGAAGGTACTGGGTTCAACTCCTGGTGAGGCCGTGAGTGCGTACTGCTGAAGGGCCCCATACTAGGACGAAACAGCTGTTCAATGGTCCCAGGTCTCCAATGTCTCTGCAATTGATGTCAGTTCATGATGAATACCAATCTGAAATTAAAGTTGTATGTCTTTATCAAGTCTAAGTATTAGTTCTGCTACCGACTGTTTACAATTAGTGAACACTACATTTTCTATGGTTGATATGCGTTTTCATTGACTGTATATTGATACTTCTTTTTTGTCTAACACATAGTTTTAACCGAATTGTTTTCTTTTTCAAAATACTACTATTATTATTATCAAGCACGTGAATGGACTCAGCTGTACGCTAAACAAAATTAAACTGAACCATATTCTTAAAAGTAGCAACCAAAAGAGAGAAAAAAAATCAATTTCGATCAAGCAACTTTCTCTATCTGAATAAATTTATGTAAAAGATTAACTGTCTCCTAATATTATATGTGCAGATATTCATCATTCTCTTCTGGTTGGAGTTTCACTCCACTTTTTGAGAAAAATGTTTAATTGCACAAATGGAATTGATTTTCAGCCATATTTGAACATCTCTCAGATCCCCTTCTACTGTCTACTAATCTTCATTGGGTAATTTGTATATTTCACTTCCATGAAATAGTTTCAAACTTGCTTCCTTCTAGCAAAATATGATATTCGATTATATTGTCGTTTTTTTCTTTTGAACAATGAAGTAAAGTTTTTCGCTTTGCTTTCGTCATGTTAAACTTGTACTTTTGTTTACCATTGTTATGTTTGTTCCTTTCTATTGCCCTATTTATTTATCTGCTTTTTTAAGTTTGATTGTTGTTGAAGCAAAAAAAATGTCACATACTCCTGGTGAGTTAAGTTGAAGATTTGTGAAAAGCTCTACCATTAGGATTTTTTCGCTTTCTCTTTCTTGTTGTTTTCGATTCACTTCTATGATTTGTAGAAAGTCTTGTTTCATAATTTGATGAGAACTGAGTGTTAATTAACTAGCTAGTCCTTCTCATACTGTTAAATATTATGGCACATCTTTGCTGGTCTATATATATGTGTACACACACACACGCACACATACACATGCATATTATTCAGTAAGCAATCTGCATCTTTATCGCATAATGTTAGTATAAAACCTTCAAAACTCTTAGAAGGTATCTGTTCGACTGATTAAATTTTCCTGTGTATATGTCGAAAAAATAATTATTAAAATCGTGCTGCCTTGTTATACATTTATCAAAAGTTCAAATAACTAGTTGAACAGTGAATAATTGTCTTCATTCATAACTGTTGTTATTATTAGGCTTTTAAAAAAGTTTCTTCGCCTATGTGTTTTTTAAGATGTGTTTGAGAAAAACTCTAAAGTCCACTCTTCTAACAACTACTGGAATAATTAGTTAAACTTATTTATCTTATGAAGAAACTGTCTTTCCTTCAGTGGTTAAGTTTAGTCATATATGTTGGTTGTGTTACGTTCTATTGGGGTTCACTGTGTTCCTAAACAACGTCAGCACTAACTGCAATATGAAGTGAACTGTCGTGATTTCTCCGTAAGTGATTCAATAGTTTTCCCTGATGAAGTGGTATATGATTGGTAGTTTCCTTTGATTCTTGTGTCATTAACTGTACAGGTTTACCTACCACCTGTTTCTCTGGCTGACCTTTTGTGTTGTAGTCGTTTATCATTTTTCTTATTAGTTGGTAGATTGGTTGTGTGACTCACCTGAATGCCAAGCTTCTAGGATTTCTGTAGTATTCTTGTGTCCAAGAATTCTGCCTTTTTCAAGATCGATTCATATTCATGGGTTTCTGCATGCATGATATAAGGAATGGAGTTTTCATGTAGATGAAGGCGAATATAGCGACCAGTTTGTTCAGTGTAGTGTTTGTTGCAGTTAGTTTTTGGAATAGTATTTGTTTTGCCGTCTTTGATTGTTGCGTCCTGAGGTTTGTATAGTATGTATGACCTGGAGAGAATTTGTCGGTTTATGAGATAAACTGATTCTAAGTGACCTCAATCACATGGATAGAAATGCAGATAATATCAACGTAGGGCCTAGAAATACTGTGTAACAGTTCAAGCTGCCACACCTCATATGAGCACATCACACGAGAGTGCACCAGGTTGAAAGGTGAAAAAATAATGAAGAAAGCAGTCAATAGTGGTACGAAGTCGTCAAAAGAAAGTAAAGAAGAACGACAGAACACTAAGATTCAGTTTGACGTTTAATATGAAGATAATGTGTGAATACCTCCGCACCACTGATACCGATTCCCAGCAACATCACCTACAGTCCTCAATCATTGGTTTCTGTTATCACATTGACACCAATCAGGAAGTGTACGTTTCGCTACACCTTACAGTCAAAGTTCCGCATTCTAGTCTACTCGGAGTACAAAATGTCTTAAAATTCCACTCGATGAAAAACTGGTAGGATAATCTTATCCATCATCGTACATATGAGGCGACCATCTTGTCATAAACCAATTCAACCTTTGTTGTTTGACCCTATGTTGCCATTGTGAAAGTGATGTCAGTCAGCAAAAACGTCAGGCTTGGTAATACTGCATAGTGGTTCGATTTGCTACACATGATGTCAGCAGAACACCAAAGTAAGAGGGCACCAAGATGAAAGAACTAAGCAGAAGTAGTAGAAATTCATAGAAAGCGAAGAGGAAAGGGCGAAATTTGCCATAACGATTGAGATAATGTGGGGATGAACCTGCACTGCCGAGATCAATTCCGAGTCATATCATCTAAAATTTGCAACCACTACTTACGGTTTTCATGTGCACTCCAATCAAGAAGTCTACGTTTCCCTACACGGCCTGAGAGCAACTGTCATGGACTTCACCGACCGATGCCATGTTTAGGTCTAGGCACATCTAACTATGTTTCCAGCCGTAGCCTACTCCAACCAGTGTTACGCGATGCGGTAAGCAGTAACTGGGTACGCGTAAAGATTCACAACTTAATGGAATGGTTCTCGTTTTCCTCCTAAAACGCTTCGCATGGATTCTACATTACTGACGTAGTGACACTATACGAAAGCGACAGTGGTTATATACCTGAATTCTTCCTATGTCTTTCAAGACACCGTTTTACAACCGTAAAGTAATGCAAAGCAAACTAAAGTAAAGTACATTCGACTCCAAACAGACGGCTGGACATCACGGCGGCGCTATAAATGGCGTAAGTTGTTCAAAGCCAATCGAGCCCTTTGTACCCATGAAGAGATTTTGTCGGTCGCCCGGACCTATCTGACTTCCCAGACAGGTGGTCAATGCACTCAACCACTTCACGCCATATTGTTAGACAGGGCACCAATGAAGACCAGTTCTCGAGCATCAGTTTGCATTTGGGTGGTGAGAAACGCAACCCAAACATTTTTAAATTGCGATTCAATGGTTCAGAATTCTGCAGTTTTTCAAGCTTTACAAGTAGAAGGACTGTATCAACTTCACACTATATCTACTTAAGAGTTTCCTATGACAGGACCAGCACTTGTAAAGACAGGTGATGATACGGATATCTTCATAAGTGCGTCTCAAGTCCGGAAATTTGGTTGATGTCAAGCATTGGTAAGTGTGCCTGTGATCCAGAACCTGGCGAAGAGTGAATATCTGGTCGATGCACTTAGGACTAGGCCTGTTACATCCTTGATTTTCACGAGTTAGCTTCGTGACCAATAATCCTCTGTCATCATTCTTAAATACTTCTGGTACTAGTCCGTCTTACCCAGCTGCTCTTCCTTATTTCAAGTTGCCTACCGCTTCCTTGATATCTGTCAGTGTTGTGTATCTTACCTTGGTGTTTCTTGCAGGATCTGACTAGATAGCAGGCAAAGGAATAGCAGCCGTTTTTCGAAGCGTTCCAACCATCGTCCCGGTTATCTCTCTTGTGAGTGAATCACATACATATCCTTCTCTACAATAGTATCTCTAACCACTGACCTTTTCTTCCCAGCCTCCCTAATGAATCTAAACAGTTGTCTGTTGTTACTTATCGCCACTGTCTTTTCCATCTCTAATTTTTTTTGCCCACCGCTGATTGCGGTAATCGCGTAGACTTTTTATCAGCCTACATTTGAGTTGCATTCGCTAAGGTCCTTCAGGAATACGTGCTTGTGTAACTGTCAGTTCGAAAGAGTCTGCTGACATCTACTGGCTTTTCTCAAAACATTGTTGGGAGTTGGCTAAGGTCTTAATCGCTGTTTTTATATCAGACTGGAGATAGTTCCATGACGGTGCTTATACGTGTTCAAACTAACGTGTGGTCGCTATCTGAACACGTGTTCCACCGAATCTCTCCGGTGATTACTGATAACAGCGATGTGTGACTATGTCTACCTCAGTTGAGGTCGATGAACACCAGGTCAGATAATGTCTCTCTTTACGTCTGAAGATCGTGCTGGCCAGAATTAGATAGTTGTCCGCGCACACTTGTAGAAGGCGATCACCGTTACCTGTCCGTTATGCTGGGATTGCGAAAGTGCCACACAAGGATGTTTTTCACTATTATTTTTAGTCTTAACTTCTCCATTCAGTCTAACAGGTAATAGGCGACTGTCAACTGGAATCCGGTCTAGCAGTACACTTTCTGCCATGCCTACACCTTTAATACCGGGTGAAATAACCATCAAATCTGCAAAAGTCAAAGTTACCATACTGGCCTGATGAGATTTAGGGAATGACTGCACTTGTGTCCGGTATGTCCATGTCCGAAGATGCTAGTTTTGGCTCTGACTGATTTGACAGAGGGTGAGGATGTGGAAAACAACGTGTAGTTTGGAGCATTGTATCGTATATATATATATATATATATATATATATATATATATATATATATATATATATATATATATATATATAATGCTCCGACGCGATACAATTAACGGTGGAACATTGACTTCTCAACACGACAGTCAGCTGACACTAGAAGTAGAAGACAATGGGATTGAAGATATACTTACTTCATCCGAAATGATGCGATTATAGCGGAGTTCAATCGTTTATATACTTTTTAAAGGGCCTTGACTGAGGAAAACAAAATAACATATTAAAAGTGCGAAATGAATCAATCAGCATTTAATATCTTAAACCGCGGCGAAAATAAGTAACATCGTACAGAGCTAGTAAAAGCGCGAAGATAAAGTTTGAATCTCACAATGGAAATACATATATATTATGAGTTAGTTTTCTTAGGTATCAGACGTCCCTAACGGTTATCATTTAGAAGCATGGATAGGATTGCTACTTTTGCAATTTCGAGACCTATTGATGTGAGGGAGACTTTAATAATAAAGATGACTATGTTATCTTCATTTATTTCGATATCTATGATT